TTTAAAAAATACAGGTCCTTGACGAGGAACGTACAGTTTGGCATGGATAGGCCTAAATAAACAGAAGATCATTTTGGAATGTGAGCAGTTTTCGATCATTTCAGAATAAGGAGTTATCGTCCTTGACCTGGAACAATGACAATTTTTCTGCTTGCTTATTTTTTTTTTTTTTTTTTTTTTTTGAGGAATGTTTGGGGGATGGTAAGAAAAAAGTACAACCGGTCCAGCTCTTTCGAATTAAAATTTCCAAAAAATGCCATAAAACGTTAAAAGGACGATAAGAACAATCTGTGTTGATGATACATTCTACTCCTACACAATTCTTAATCAATTACATATCATAGTAAAGATACTCCACCCATCTTCACGAACCAGATATAATACCTGTTTTAGACTCCATATAGCACTTACTGGTAACTAACAGCGAGATTCCTGACAATTGACGATACCATAGAACAATTCGTTCTCACTCAGGAATTCCATTCACTTGTTTTCTATAGTGTAAATGTCATAGAGGGATTCCTACAGTTTGGCCAATTTTCGAAACGCAATTAAACCCTCATTACTGGCATATTTCTCGTGTTTAACTATTGTCTCATGGTATGTTATGATAACAAGTTCCAAGTTTGGTTCTTCTTTATCTTAATACCCCTAGAATTTAATATATCAAATCTGCCACTGTTTATTTTACTTATATTTTTTAATAAACATATTTCCTGTTAAAACACTATTTTAATAATAATTCGAGGAAATGTTGTTGTGTTAAATTTAAATGTATCATACTTCCTATTTATCATACAGTATACCTTATAGACAGAAGATTAGATAAATCTTAATAACAGGATTTGATTTCTCATTCAATTTCTAAGAAATGACTAAAAGTTTATGCAATCCAGAATTTGTTATGAGTAAGATAACATCTGGTTTAAAACTAGCAGATTTCAATGAAATTCCTGGATTCCTCCACCTACAACTTCCTTTCATTACACAAATAATGGAATTTTCAGAGAATTTATCAGTTCCATAAAGAAAACCATCGCCAATTGCTGATATCCTTCTTATAATGTATCTCTATATAATGTATGCATGTTATTCCATACCAAGCTCTGGTATATGCATGGAGAAAAGTAGGACGTAAAACTCCATTCATTTCATTTCATTTCTGGTATTCCTCCTCGGAATTGTTTTTTATCAAAACTATTCCTCCCCAAAATCAATCATTCATTTGAAACGTATTTCATTCAAAAAATGTATTTAACAATTAACCATGAATGGATATAAAATACACACTCGATATATCGAAATACTTCCATGTGACACTTGGACCCACATTTCTTCCCGGTCCTTCTCCGGCAATAATTCCTCCACGTGATCTCTAATTCCTCCCCTGTTGAGAAGCATTGTTTTACATAGTACTAAAATGTTTTTATTTTTACATGATAAAAAAATGTTAAGTTAGATTATTTCCAGACAAATCTCATTCGGATCAAAAATTTTCTTCATCTATTGTACATCAAAGAACATTCCTATATTGAAAAAATCCATGACGAGATTTCAACTTGGAACTCTTCATTCAAGAAAGTGAAAAAGTCGTTTCGTATTTCAATTAATCTCTCAGTTGGCTTTCTTATCTCTGAAGAGTAGGTAAAGTTTCACTAATTTTTCTACCAACGTAATAAATAATCCTAACTTGGGGGCTTCATTTTGACCTTGAATATAATTAGATCTAAAAAAAATTGTTAAAGCCAGATCATTAGCCATAAAAGTGTTCCATTGATAATTTGAAGTCGTAAAATATTTTGTTTACTTCATTCTTGATTTTAACCATATGTTAAGTATCTTTCTCTTAGACCTATTTTACTTCTTTAAACATAATTGTTTTGTATAATGATTTCATGACTTTGTTTAAATAAATATAATTTTTATATGGTTTATTGTGTCATACCTACAAACCGAATTATTTTCGAGAATCGGTGACAAATAAAAGAACATTAACATTTAAGAGTGGTTCGATAAACATTAAGTATTTGGGGGTACAGAGAACAAGTGTCGGAAGGGACAATTTTACAGATATGTGTAGAATATTGCATTCCTAGAATAAGAAATTAAAGCGGGTTGGATTTGTTCCTGTATGAATGACATTGAACATGACAGTTAACAAATCATACAGTATAGGCCCTACAATGGTTTGATGGATTTTGACATGCCAGAAATTAAGCCCAACTTTACCTCCCACGATCTATATTGTCTATCAGAGATTGATTTGAAATGATATCTCAATGTTGGTATGTGTCAAGGATTTAAACAAACATCTACAATGTGAAAGAAGAATGTAATGGGTATCAACATTATCATGGTGGCCAATTTTCTATCTAATTTTTTTACAAATACATTGAATCCAACTTACTGATGGAACAGCTGATTGCAATAATTATATGTATTATTTGAAACAATTTTGGTTTACTGTGTTACACATGCAATTAAAAACTTCTTTAAGTTTTACTACTACCAATCTAAACACCAAACATATTAATCCGAAATTGAAAGTGAATAGGAGATGTCACGCTGCACGACATTATTAAGAAGCAATGCTGTAAATGGGTGAAAAATTAATTTCTAAGGCTTTATCTAATCTTTAGATCCTATGCTACTCTTTACATGAAGAGTGGGGGCCTATAATTACGAAATCTTAAGGTTTTAAACACGACAAAACATAATCGCTTCATTAATTGCTTTTATGATTTATGGTATGGAAAGCCATTCAAGACAAAAGTCTTCGTTTGTTATTAGTAACTGGAGCCGTCAATTTCTGATTTTTCATTCGTTTATAGTTGCTGGGTCCGTTAATTTCTGATTTTTCATTCGTAACTTTCTCTGTCATTGCTTCGTTTCTCATGAACTTGTTGATTAGTAACTGTCTTCTTCTTCCATCTCTCGTGACATCGTTATTAATCGCCGGTT